CGTGGTGATCATTAAGAAGAATGGGGTGGATATCAGGCTATGCATTGTTTATCGGTTGGTTACATGTAATAGCCTAACACAACTGATGGTATATCCAATGCCCTTGATCAACGATCTACTCGAAGATCTGGAATCGACGCTTTGGTACTGTTCTTTGGGCATGGCGAGCGGATTTTGGGTAGTGAAAATGACGGATCGAGCTCGCTTGATCTCGGCTTTTATCACCCCGTTCGGGTTATTTGAATGGAATCGAATGCCTTTTGGCTTGAAGAATGCGCCCCAGATCTATCAACGTATGATCGACAACGCGCTATATCGCGCTATATGGATTCACGTGGATCCCGAAGTCCGAAGATCACGGAGATATTCTAGATGTATTTGAGGACGGAGAACCGGTGGATCCAGGAAGGCCATTGGTGCTTGGACGCAGATCATATATCGACGATATCCTGATACCAGCAAGTGACTGGGATCAACTATGTGACCGAGTCGAAAATCTGCTCAAAGCGTGTGTGACGAGTGGAATTTGTCGATGAGTGTGGTTAAGAGCTTTTGGGGAATTCCTAGGGTGGAATACCTGGGGCATAAGGTCTCGCACAATGAACAGGAGGCGAATCCGAAAGATCTGTCCGCATTGACTGATCTAGCCTTTCCAGGATCACTCAGAGCTATGCAATCATTCTTGGGAAGTCTGAATTTTTATAGCCGATGCATTGACGACTACGCGATCTACGCGTCGGTCCTGTATGAATTGCGCGAAATCGACTTTGCTGCGATGACGAAGGAAGCTACTCGAGCGCGGATCCAACAAGTACTGGAAGTGGAGGACGCAGATCAAGGATCGCAGGAAGATCGGGGTGTTGACCACCGAAAGACCTTGGATCTGGAGGCGCCCAACCTTATTGAGGTGGATTCGCGGTGGATCCATGCCCATCGATCCTTCAACGTGCTTAAAACCAGGATTGGTACCACTCCGATCCTACGACATTTTGACCCAGAGCGGAAGGCCACAGTAGTGGTGTACGCTAGCGATTGGGCCATCTCGGTAGCGTTGATGCAAGAATACGACCAGATCTACTATCCCGTGGCGTTTGCAAGCCGTACTCTGAAGTCGAACGAACTAAACTATGGCATCGCGGAGAAAGGGTACTAGCCCTTCTGAGGATCCTGGATCTTAACTACAATGCGTTGGTCGGGCGTCCGATCCATGTGTTAACCCGACACTCAACATTGGCGTGGCTCTTCAGATCCACGGCCTTACAAGGGCGTTTAGGATAATGGACCGCTCTGTTGTCGCCTTGGACACTTGAGATCACCAACTGTGTCAAAGGAGAAGATGAGATCCTGGGAACACTGGCAGCCAGTATTACCCCTAGATCAGAAGTGGATAAGGCGTTGATCTCAATTGCCCCCAAAAAGGAGCCAAGGCGTACGATCCACGCTCCGATCCCCACTATCGAACGAGAGGAGGAGCTATATGTCGTTAGTTTCGATGGGTCGGCCCGTGTCAAGAGAGGTGGAGGCGCCTACAGCGCGATCTTGTGGAAGCTACCCGAATGGAGAGTGCTGAGAGCTAGATCAGGGTATGCTGAAGGCTTGACGGTGAATGAAGCGGAACACCATGGTATGCTACTATGTCTGGATCTGTGATCGCCAAAGCCAGTGCCTCTAGATCCGCCCAAACAATTGCCGAGACTTATGAAGAATGTGTCTTCCGTCGATTTGGCGCGAGCGA